ATTCACTGAAAACAATTCAAATCCCTTATAAGTTCTTAGATGGAATGCAAGTTATCAATTTCTATGTCCTTAGTAAATATTAATCTTACTATCTCATTATGTCAAGGGCTCTGACTGGGCTTAGTGTACTGATTCAGGACACAGGGATGTAAAGATACATTTTTTCCCCTCCCCTTGACACAGGGACAATAACGGTTTTTGCCTCCTCTGAGTTTTGGGAGGAAACTATCTGATTGTTGGTCAGATGGTTTAGGAGGGTTTCGTGAACCTGTTAGTCATATTCTAGGAGAATAGCACATGTGACTAAACCTGAGACAAACGGTGCCAGACACTATGGAGTAAGCCGCTCCACTGTGTCCCAACTGCACAGGAAGTTTCAGCAGACTGGCAGGACAGATGACTGTCCAAGATCTGGTCGCCATTGAGTGACCACACCAGACTGGTCCATCTGAGAAATTGTTTCACCAATCCCGTAGTATGCCACCCATACTGCTGCTGAAACTGCTGGCAGACACAATGCCCACATCAGTGACAGGACAGTGAGACTCCATGCTGCTGGACTTAGAGCAAGGTGACCTATCAGGGACCCTCTGCTCACACCTCCTAGGAATCACACCCGACAGGCTTGGGCCAGACAGATGCTGCAATGGCCTTGTCAGCAGTGGCCTCATTTCCTCTTCAGCCTATTCCACACAGACAGGAGGGCCAGAGCGTATAGGAGGAGGTGTTGCATTTCTTTTTTCCACCAGTATATTTAGATTTTTTAATTACCCATTTCTCCTTGAAAACTTATTTTCCTGAATTTTGATTTTAATGGACTATTTTGAGTTTACCTTTTCTAAGGGAATGGAGTATGTGATGTGGCAACTCATCCAGTGCTTCATCCATTCTTGGCAATAGGTAGGAGGGTGTTGTACCCATTTAGCCATTAGAGGCATGACTGGGTTTTCCAGCCTTGTGTCCTCAATCAATGTAAGAGAAGATAAGATTGTATTGTCCCCTGAGGGAAAATTTTTATGGACACCCAGCACTCCTGTACATTTAAATAGAATACAAAAGAAGAAGAAAAGAAAAACATTGCACATTATTCTATTACAAAAAATAAGAAAAACATTGCACATCACTCTCTTGCACATGTACAGCATAACACATAACAACATGTAACATTTATAACACATCACATCACACATTGCACTCAAGTGGGTTGTAAGAATCAAAATTGAGTTTATCCTTGACATTTACATTGACAGCTTTAATGGATAGTGGAACAAAGGAATGTTCGCATCTTTTTGACTTACTGTACATTTGGGAACCCTAAACGTTTGCAAAAAGGAAGAAGTTGATATTCAAGGTTGAGGATGTGTGAAGGATCTGAAATAATTTTTCCTGCCTGTTTGATTATGGATTTTTCAAAGATTGTTTGCAGGGAGGGATGCTGTTTCACTCGCATGACCTTCAAAGTCTGGTTGAGGTGGGTAATTTGCAATTTTAAATGAACTGATTGATTACCAATCCACACTGTAATACCATATCTGATAATGCTCTCGATTACAGCACGGTAAAAGAGTAGCATTACTTCCTGTCTAACCCCAAACACTCTTAGTCTTCGCAGGAAATTTAAGCGCTGCTGAACTTTGGAGCAAACACTCTCAACATGAGTAGTCCAGCACAGGTTACTGTCTATGTGTACACCTAAGTACTAATATAAATCGACCTGAGTGATAAGTTTTTTGTGGATTACTACATGTGAGTGATCACCATGTAGCGGCGAGGCTTATTAATAAGAAAGAATTAAGTGTTTCTGAGCTTTCCCAAATTAGGCCCCATTTCTCTGTTCATCTCTGTGGTGCAGCCACAGAGAGACTATTCATGCAGGGTGA